CTGATTCCCATACCACACTTCTACGCGATTATATCGGCTTTTACTAGATCCCAATGTAAGTAATATCGTATGTTAGCAAACTCAACCAATGGTCGCTAGCCTGCTAATTACAAATCTATCTATTTCCAACTCCATATGATCGCTCGTCATCACCCTAATTGCAGCAGAGGCCAAGTTTTTCATTCTGTTTATATTAATGCATATTACCCCATTTTATATCCCCTCAAATTCATCATGTTTTGCTAATCTCCTCCCATCCCGTCATTTTCCCAAGCTTTGGACTTTGGAAATGCCCGTTTCGGACGAACTGGTTAGCTGATATCCGCTCCACCTGGCCTAGGATCTACAACTCCGGGATCACCAAGAAGACCAAGAAAACCTACAATCCCATATCGGCTTCGTTCCAGCTTGATTCCTCCACCAGGCTGAAATGAATACCGCTGCCCAATGAAACGCGCACCCCAGCCAAATCATCCCAAGTGTGACGTCCGTCACGGAGCTGTCCAAAAACTGAAACATGTCAGGCCAATGTTTCCACGGCACTGCCATAAACCCGCAACTGTTCCATTCCTCCTCCCAACCGAGCCCTCTTGCCTAACCGTTCCACTGGCTGCAAATCGACAAACTCCCCCAGCTGCCCCCAACTGCCTCCATGACATTCATTCCAACCTGTTGAACTACTCGTACGAATTCAACCACCTCTGTGTCCCCATCCAACCTAACCGCTGCACCTGACTTCCCTACATCAGTGCAACCAGTGAGTCTTTTTTCTCAGATTGCATCAGACTTTTGAGACTAAACTCGCTATGTTCTCCCAATTCGAATTATCCCGTCTCCACCTCCACATTTGCTCGTTGTGACTCCGGCCATTTACTCAACCGCCCAAGGCCACTCATGGCCAGCAATGGTTTTCAGTTTTAGTTCATGTCAGCCGACTGAGTCCTTGAGTTAGTCGGACCAACACCTATTGTGCCCTACAAGTTGCGGAAGAGAACCGTTATTATTATTTCATTGAATATTTATCGCTTTTCATGACATTGTTCCCTTTTCGCGTAATCCCCACCACCCGCAAACCCCCCAGTCATGCCCTATTCGGACTTTAAACGCATGATCAGGCCAGACGGTATGCCACCCACAATTTGGGAATAAACATTATTATAATTATCATTGTTATTATTATTGTGTACAATGACGTCGCTCTACGGACATGCTTTTTCTCGCGGAAACCACTCAAGTGTGGTGCACGACGCAAGAGTTCCGGCTTCATTAGGCGGGCGAAGCGAACAGCTAATTACCCGGAAGCGGAAGACGGGCGAGATAATTACATCAACCAGACCTAAGCTTCGTATGTCAGCATTTCAGCAAAAATGTTAAAAGGAGCAGACCCTGAAAATAGTGTCTACACGTTGGCTATCAAGAACGCCCAGCGGAGAGTTCAACGCGAACCGAAGTCTAGCGTTATTAGTTGCTCGCAAAAAGTATCGCTCCGCACCCAATTCGCTGCTTGCAAATAGTAAAGTAATGTGACTATTCGATGTTTGGGTTAATGAGGGGCACACAAAGCTGCGCTTTGCTGTCAAGAAGAAAAGAGTGGCCGCTCGATATATCAGCTAACTAAGACAGGTATTTGTTGATTTTCAGATCAATAGAAATTGTCGTCATCACGGCGTTGTCTAAGGTTAATATGCAGGTGGACAAACGAACAAAATGTTCCATATTTTTGCGCCCACAGACAAATGTGTGAAAGGTATAAGCTTCAGGTTCTTGTTTTAAATAGAATAGTGCCTACTTATGCCAGGTATTCAGCCAAAAGGTCGTAATTGCTTTCTGAGAGTGTCCGAAAACGTGTGCCAGCTGAATCACAGCGCGTAAGAAAGAATCACCATGATTTTCCAGCATCGCTTTGATATTACTGCGTTCTTTGTATTGAGCGAAAAGACGTTGATGTATCTAATCGGTGGGTTTTGACAGTTGTCTTAAGAAGCAATCCCTCACGAACATTGTGATCAAACTGGGTGTGCAGATGAGAAGCTTGTGCGGTTTACTGTGTGCTAAAACGTTTTCTTAAGCACTCTGCCGTGTGGTAAGCAGCACACATGACGCTGGAAGGAGGTGCAATCTCCGAGATGCCAGATGTACTTAGTTCGCTTAACATCTCATTCTCTGCCTGACTGATTCCTGAACTGATTATCGCAGTATCCTGAAGATAGCCCCCAGTATCTCTTCTCCCGTCGCCGGAAAAATAACGGCCAAGTTTTCCTATTATAGAGAGGGAGTTAATCGATTGAGATTTCATTCGCTCAGTAGAAACGTGCTTCGGTTTGATGAAAACAAACTCTTGGATTCCAGGCAATAATTGCCGGTAAGCAAAGGAGGATGAATTTCGGTTACCCCGGGGGAACGAACGAGAACTCTTATTCATCGAAAGGTTCCCTGCCTTGAGCCTCTGTTATGGGCTTTAGAACACGAACACTGGTCAACCAACTGGCTCTGAAGATCTATATACTACCGGTGAATAGCAACTAGAGAGCACAATATTCCATAAAGGCCCGATAAATATAACGATGTTGGGCTCAGAAAATTTCTGGAACTGGTGAGAATTGCAAGACAGCAGCAGTCTATTCCGGGGCTAAAGAGCACCGAACAGGATTTCCATCACTCGCGGAGCAACAGTTCGCCACTCGGGAAAATCGAATGAGAGGAATTTATTACGACATGGCGTAGACGTCCGACCCTGAGTTCATTTTTCTGCTGTACAGGAGAATGTTGGTAGCGTGGATGGTCTTCGGTTTATTCATTGAAATGGACATTTAATTGAAAGCGTGGCAATGGGTCGCCACGTTTCACCACGTCCCTTAACAAAGAATTTATAACATTACCTCGACTGTGAAAAAACATTTGCAATCAAATTGCCCAGCACAGCTAACACATCAACGGCCATTCATTTTTCTCGTCCCTTTCTTTCTTTTTTGTAATACTGTTCTACTGCATTGTATTGCTGATGGACTATGAATCTAGCCGTACAACATATCTAGCCTGGGAAATATCCGCTGCACTCCTTTGGGATCGAAATGTCAAATGTCAGGCTGCCCAAGGAGCGTCATGACAATTTCCTACGACTCACACATGGTCTCCCTCCTCTGACTTCATCAGAATCCATGAATCGCGATTCTTCGGTGAGAATCCCGCACCCGATTGTCCCAGGCAGCCTGTCCGCCTCCGCCATCATTTATACACTTTACAACTCAGAAACTCATGCGACTATGAAATAGCCCTAATGATAAGGAGAAAATCCGTCGGTGGACCCGTAACTGCCTTTCGTGCCAACGCGGGAAATTTCGAAGCCTTCGGACCTCCTCTCAAACCAACTCCGTCTTAGTTGTCGAAGTGGACAAGGCTTGCTTTAACGATCGGTTGTTCCACGCGATTGGCTGGTTTTCCGCAAACCGGTCAGATGGTCGCAGTGGTCATTGTTGGCGATCAGGCAGGTAGGCAGTGAGGCAGGCAGGAGAATTGCTGAGAGCGACAACCCAACAGTGCATTGACAGCACGCGCTTGCGTATCTGGGAGACCGCAAGTTTCGCAGTGTTTTTAAACTTGGGTGGCCTAGGAGCAGTCATCCTGCCCATCCATTGTTAATAAATGAAGCACTATAATAATTCTTGGGCCGTGAACCAGCAAGACTTCCTCCTTCCGAACACTGCTTTCCGCATTGAGCGTTACGAGGCTTTAATGCGTCAACTGTCCAGCCCTCCCAAGCGGCGTTTATTGCTTAGATTATACAAAAACCTGTCCCAGGCGCTGCACTAAAATTTCTAAAGTTCCGATAGACGGTTGTCCGTCTTGTCCGTCAGAGACCGTTTTTCACAGTTCAAACTTCAGTGAAGGTCGGGTTATGGATGAATCTGCTATTATTTAGTGAACACGTTTGCCCAACTCAACAGGAAATTTCCCTTCCCGTGCACCAGTTTATTACGATTGTGGGGCACCACCTGCTCACACGTACGCCACAAACTCCAATTCATCATTTTCCCACCTGTTTGATCGTGCACTCTGCAGCATGGTCTCGCATGATCCTTCCGCCCCCGAAACACTTGTGGGAAGAAAACTGAGGTAATTAATCAATGTCGAAGTTTCACGCTTATAAGAAGGGACCGCGCGCACTCTTTCACTGTATCCAAATAAGAAACGTCCTAGGTGCCTTTGAACGGTTGAGTGTACAGAAGTTCCGTTGAGGGTGTACCGCAGCCTGTTGGGCGGTGTTGAGACCATAACGTGAGATAAGTGCCTTCGAGGTAAACCAGAACCGTCCGAGCATTAAGAATAAACAGCATTTAATGAGTATGGTAAGTCCTTCAGTTCTGACTTTTTGAATGCTGTAACGTCGGGTTCATTAGTCGCACAATGTTCTTAGCTGCAAAACCTTTGCGAACAGAATAAAACTTTTCACTCAAAAATATTGCGGTTTGCTGCGTATGTGCTCAAACCAAAAACCTTCTTATCTATATTCAAGTTTTTGCAGGTCGCCGAATGTTTATCCATTGAAGCCATCACACCTCTGGCGAAGAGTCTCGTGGAATACTTTCCTAGCGTCACCTACACCACAGGATGCCTAGATGGGGCTCAAAATTTCGGACTCGTAATCTGAACTCAATTGCGTCTCTTTCTTAGAAATTGAACAACGCGCCTTCTGGGCCGACAAATTAGCGTCCATGATGACCTCATTTAATAGCCGGAGTATTGCGCATCAGCTGAACGCATTTGACTGGTTAAGGCACACTTGGATAGGTACAATTACCTGGAAGCATCGATGCTGTGGTTGCGACATGAAGAGCTTGTTTTACTGGGTATAAACGCGGGCCATCTGCACGTGAGTCCTCATGTCCTGTCTGCGTCATGTTCCGTGGTGCTCCTTTTCTGAGTTTAATGTCGTCACTGAGGGAATAAATTCAGGCACTTTTCTTGGTCTCCGTCATGCGCTGAATGTGCTGCACGTCTGGATGACTCGTTTACCCCCTTCCAAACTATCACGCTCTATCACATGCACCCACCATCTACTTCTAGCGTATTTCGAGGAGTCCCAGCTAAGTCTGGCATTAGCTCTCATGCGTTTTGTTTCATTAGTTTCCAGCGAGGATCAGGACCGCATTAAACCCTATGCTGCACAATCGTTATTGTCACTAACACGGAAAGTTGGTATGCCGTGCTGGTTGGCAGATCTGAGGAACGATATTGCCCACGGCTCGCTGCCGTCAATCGAATTACTTGAGCGTGGCTTTTGGTGGTCATTAGAATGTGTTCGCGATTTTTGGGACTCGAATACATCGCATTTCTCCCTCATTTGTGTGAAGACGGAAAGTTCATTCTTATCAGCATGCGCTATTGTCGACAGCTTTCTTGCATCACATTTGAGTGATCCCAAAACATGTTGCGGTTCACAGTTGGACGAATTGAATAATTTATTCGGCGATGACCGTGCTGGCGTCCCCTTAGTCCAGTACATTGCTACTAGTATCTTACAATGCAGCGATCCCAAGTTTAGCGTAGCGCCCGCGTCGCTTTGTCAGTCCATCGAGTCGCTCCTTGTATATGTTAAACAAAAGCAGCATTTGCAACTACTGATTTTGCAGTTTATATTGAATGTGAGCGCTTCGACGGAGCGCGAATCTCTGCGCATTTCACTTAGTGTGGCGTGGGTGACTGCTCTGTGTGATTTTCTTGCGAGGAACTCTAACCCTCTGTGCAAGTTTTTGGACGGTTACTGTGTTAAAACTTTTGATTGGCGACGTGCACTCAATCATATGTTAACTGTTTGTTCCATTCATAATTACGACCTCTGTGTGGAAGTCGTGCGGTCTTACAAACCACCAATGGAATATTCGAAGCAGGCCACTATATTGGGGCATATGAAAGCATTCCTAGGTATTAACGATTGTGGCTGTCCCCCAGGTGAGAAACCGACATCTGAGGTCAATCGGCGGTGGCTACGTTGTCCAGACGCATGCTGGTTTCAGGAGCCCCTAGGAGCTGTCCTCAATCCGCGTGCTAAACATCATGACTTTTCTTTTACAGAGAATGCCGCGACAGGTTGACAGTATCAAAGATTTTTTGAGAAAAACGCAGCGGGCGGACGCTAAATGTAGGTTTTATGCCTTACAATCATTGTTTTCTCAGCTGTCAAGATAAAGGAAAACAAGGACAATGTGAAGTTTAAGATTCGCTGCAGTCGATTTTTATACACGCTTGTTGTTACCGAAAAAGAGAAGGTCGGTAAAATAAAGAGTTCTCTTCCGCCAAGTATGTCCACTTTCCAGTATGCTAATTCACTTACTAGATCTTACTGTCAAAGAGATCAAATAATTGGACTTTTAATACATGTGGCTCCCAGGTCTGCCTGTTTTGCTATCGATGGGCTATGATTGTCGTAGGGAATTTCAGCCCGGGTTGAGTTAAAGAAACAACTTAGTAACGGGTTTAGTTGACCCTTTTCTATCGCAACCTCTTGAACGTGTCGACCTAGCCGCACTTCAGCCATTCCTGGAATGTTTACAAATTGCTAGCAACTAGGTGTGCCACTAGCTGAAACGGTGTGAAGGCAAATGCTATTCTGCTGCAGGAATGGGGAGACGTCTTCGCGGTTCTGTGTCGGTCTATATACCTCGGCGGCTGATTGAGCTATACTGAAGGGCGTCCGTGGAAAACCCGCTGTCTCATAACAATTTAGTCATTGTTTAGAGGTCTGAAACACAGTCTCCTGGTCCTCCAGGTTGCAGGTTGGGACATGTGCTGCAACTTTTCTGAATTTCCAGCCAAACAACACTGCCTTGAGGACCCTAATCGTCCTGTGGGCGACCTGACAGCATCCCAGCCCGCGTACAACCACGAGTTGCACATATACAAGTGAACTTCTGTCACATCGCTTGGCACCATCAACAGGGCTTGTAAACCAAAACGGGCTCTTGTTGACGCCTCCCTTTTGTACGGCAAGGAGGCACTGCCCACGATGATGACTCAGGGATAGCCTTGAAATTTTGGGTTGGTTAACGGACTTAAAGATTTGACATACTGTTGTACCACAGCAAATTTTGCCTCTATCTTCCCATCGCGTTCATGTCAGCCATGGCCTACATAAGGCAGCGTTGCATGTATTTTGAAAGAATTGGGTTATTGGTGGCTCCCCGCTCAAGAGTAGATTTCGTGCTCACTACTAATCCCTGATATCCCAGATGTGAGAGTTAACGTGAAGTGCATTTGATAGTCAAGGTTTGGCAACAGCAGTATGTCTTGCGTTGACTATCTCTCATTTTACGTGGTTAATCGTCCCCCACTATTTGGCAAGAGATCCCTAGCCAAACCGGTACTCTTTGCAAACGTTCCGTGTTTGGCTATGCCTACGTACCTGGGCTTGAATTCCGCCCCTCAAGGACTACACTCTGCAACGGTTGCCGTCGATTGTTTTTGGGCTGTCGTGGTCGCAGTTTCGAACAGAAGGTTTCAGTGCAAATAAATTCGAGGTGAGTCATTTTTATACGATGAATCCTTGACACCTCTTATGAAGGTTTGATTACATTATTTAAACTGAATATTCACCGCGGTGTACTCTGTTGACGCGTTTCGTCGTTTGTTTCAGATGGGATGGCCTTTGGGTGAGTTATCTACCTTTGAGAGACAATGCTACAAACCATTTGTATCGTGCATCGTAGTATTTACGTCCTACTGGTGTATCCCCGATGGTTGACTAACCGTAACTCCTCTATTAGTAGTAGTGCTAGCGGTTTTCCTGTGGTCGAAATTGTTTCACAACGTCCCTACCTTCACTTCCACCAGATGAGTTACTTGAATTTGTTGGATACGATAGAAGTTGAAACTGACGAATGTGTAAACCATTTTGGCTCTTTTTCGTCTGATGCCTCCACTAGCGCACCTTTACTGGACTAGGACATCCTTCGATGGGCACACGTGGTCTGGTCGTTGAAAACCTCGGACCGTGGTGTGAAACAAGTCCGTTACAACCACCTACTGGAGTCCCTTTTGATGTTTACTATTGAAAGGCAGTCCGCAGCCCTGCCGGTTGTCGCAACCATCTGTATCCAAGCACTGGATTTCAGATAAAACTCAAATTTGTAAAAGCTCATACGCGTATTCCTCCTCGAGAGCAGTACTGCTGGACGGGCTGTCAGACCTTAGGGCAAAAAAAGCATCTGTGCGGATCTAGAAGCTTAGTTGATCCAAAGGAGAAACCTCTGGCGAGAAACAATGTACCTAGACTCAGCTGATATGCACAATGGGCCGAAAGAAGTCCCCGATGCGCGAAACACCCATAGCGAAGGCTCGCTTGTCTGCAATAGAAGTGCTCTTGATCGCCGAACTGAAAACCTTCAATATCAAATCAGCTGGCTGTTTTGCAGTTGCTCAGCCGAATCCATGATTTGCAAAAAGCTCCGAATATCAAAATTAGAACTGCAGTTGCTTCGGAAATAAGGGGGCGTCTTTCATCCCTCAAGCGTCATCGAGTTGCTGGTCCTGATGGACCTCCATTTTCTGTACGAATATGGAGGTGAAGTTTTGTTTTTTTTTTGCTTCTAGGACGTATTTGTTTCCTCCTGGGCGAAAGAGTTAGTGCCAACCTGCTGGAATGAGTTGATAGCGATGCCAATCTACAAAAAGATTCGCTGTAGTTGTGGCAAACACAGAAATTAACTTATCATAACCAGACTTTGCGTCGCTTATCGTAACACGTTCCAGAAGTTGGGGGGTCTCTCCGCTGATCGCCCTTGATTCAAAGCTGGAATCAACAAAGGCTTTGCTCAAATAAATTAATTTGTTTGCATGGTGTGAGCTACCGTTGTTTTCATCTCGTGTTACTGAGTGTTGGTCCGACGAAATTTGGGGAAGGGGTTTTCTTGGGCAGCAGCACGTGGCTAAAACAATTGATGATGCTTGGCCCAATACAACGGGTTTTCGGGGGATTCGTCGCATTATAATATTCGTTATTCTCACTACTACCCGCCTCGCGTATTTATTTTGCAACCGTCGCGTACATTGTGTTCGACATAATAGCTAGCAGAACTGTATTACATTCGGGACCCGTGGGGTCATTTCTTGAATGTTCCGCGCCACGAGAATTCCTGAGCAAACAACGAACTTTCGACAGAGTAAAGGCTGCATCAGCACGTCCTCACTCTTTGTGTTGACGCAACGCCGTATGAATTCAAAGGTCTTCAATTGTTTCGTTAATGCAATCCTCTTAACTACGCTTTCTGGAAGAAGAATATCAGAGCTTTGAGCGTGATCCGGTCGTCATGTCCGCATTCGTCTGGGAGTGAGAATGCATGGGATGCTCCTTAAAAACCTCAGAAGGCATATCCAGCCAACATATCGGATGTCTTCGTTTTCTTTCAACTTTGTCGTGAAGTGATAAAGCGGATGCCGGAAGTTCTTGAAGTCGTTGCTGATGGGTACCTTATCGATTTGGAGCATTTAGGCGTAGACTGCGCGAGCGATGCTGAATAAACTCAGCGTCATTTTCCGGCGTACTACACTAGTTGCATAGTGATGCTTCATAACGTACAGTTTGAACATGCCTCTTGCAGTTCAAAGAAAAGCACTGAAGGCTGTATTAAGTTTGACGGCAGTCTGTCTGCTGAAATCTGAACGAACCTCGTATGTCCCCGACTTCGGTGGTCAGTTTGTCATTTGTGATGTCTAATACATATCACCTCGTCCTAAGGGTCGCGCGCATGTGAGGGCTATGTTGTATAGTTGACAGACGCGACGGATACTCAGGCTTCAGAGTTTTGATCACCGATGCCTCAAGGGTTGCTGGTACCCGAATTCGGATTGTACGTCACCTACTGCGTTGGCTCGCTTATTTGCTGTGTACTAGCGTCCTCTTCCATGTCGCTTTCAGAATGATGCAAACTGCGAGGTCAAACAAGCATAACTTGGCAAAAGGGTGTGAAGGGATTGCGGTGGTTGGCTTTTGTTGCTGTGGTCCGTATTCCAGAGTAGGAGTGTCCGTGACCACTGCGGCATTCTGCTGGGGACGTTGCAAAAGGTGGTTGCTGTTCGTGTTTTCAATTTATTTCCGAGTTGTTTGACTGAGCGCTCGGAGGTGCACACATCTCACAAAACTTGCGCAAGGCCAGTGTCAGGTCCTCCCCCTACACACATCACCCCTTGACTTGAAGGTGCTAGGTCTAATCAAACAGACTGTAGGTGTGATGCGGTGAGCAGAAGTATTGCTGTCTGTAATTATGAAAACTGAAGCAGTCGTGGCACTTTGGTTTCCATTTATCAATTTCGTTCACCTCTCTTTCAGAGCCCCTGGCATCAGAGGTAAGATATGACAGTCATGATGTGTTTGCGTGTCAGCTGATACATGACTACTTGCAGAACTGATGAATTACCCTCTTTTCACTAGTTTTTCTCTACTTTACAGGTCAGTTCGGCGTTTTGTGTATCGAACCCGACCTCAGCCTTTCGACCTTCCCTGTTTGGGCTTGGACAATCTGGCAGTAGCCCAGCCTTGTGGTTCCTTTGGGTGGCATGACAGCTAGGCACTGGAAGGGTTTTGCAGCTGAACGATTATTTACAATCTTTTTCTGTTTACGTTCTGTTGGTGTGCAAAACTAATAAATCTTTCCAGTGGAAGTTTTGGGTTACTTGCTATTGGTCTCTGGTCCTCACGTGTGTTAAGGCATACAATAGCGTATTTGTTCATTCAGTAAATGGTTGACCTTTTTTGTTTCGTCTACTGACTTGCCTATCTGCAAACAGCGTTGTCTGCTTTGTGCTCAGTAGGTCATTTGGGGGTTAGTTTTGGTTTGTTTCCATTGTTTTCCGGACGGGTCATGAAACAGAGGGTTAATGGGCAGTCATGCCAGTTACTGTCACTCTTGTCATTTGGTAATGGTTTTCTGACGTCATAACGACATAGGGGTAAAAAACTCATATCAGCTTCGACACAGCAGATTCTGTTCGAGAGGTGTTTGCGTTCTAACGAGCATGGCTGGTGAATGCCACCATGCATCTACTACCACCTTGAGGAGATTTGGGACACTGGATGGATACTGGTGTGAACTATTGTGAGGTCCTAGCTCTTGTTCCAGTTTCCCCTGTGTGGCCTAGAGCTATATACGTCGGTGCCATTCACTTGAGTAGACACGCACCAAGTGCTCCGTCTGGGCATGTGAAACCCAGTGTTCGTTGGAGTGACGTGTTCAGCTACTAGCGCGTGGTACCGCATTAATGTTTTTTCCGGGTTCTACACAACTTTTTGTCGTGCTTGACTAAGAGCAAGCGACAGTGTTTATCCATGAAGGAAAGGTTGCGGTGGTGCTCTAATCTATCAGCTGACGTTGGTTTTGTAATTTGCGCCCATTATGGTCATTGTTAGCAACGTTGAGCGCATGGCCTTCTTTCATCAAGTGGAGCTAGCGGCATAACTGAACACCGATTATGGCTGCCGTACTTCTGTCACCTGGTAATGGCAGCATTTTCTTCGGACCTACATCAGCATACAGGTCACTCAGATCCCACACTCTGGTGAGCTCCGGATGCAGGACTGCATCTCCATTTAACTTCGCCGGTTGCCCTAGTAGGTCTAGGGAGGGTGCCATGCCGTTACGGTGAAGTCGCTCTGATGGGGCGGTTGTTGTGGCGTGTCACTTAGGTTGCGTAAACTCCAGATGGATGTAATGTTTATTTCACGTGCTGGTTTCAGAGCCGTTGATCAGGAAACCTCTGTCCGGGATGTCCCTGGTTGAAAGTCCATTTCTCCATCGTCTTCAGGCTTGCGTAGCCTAAGGGTAGCCCCGCATTGTTCCAGTTTCACGTTTGCTGAATGAGAACAATGGTTTTGGTTAACTAGTCCAACGCCATCGACCAGCTCTCTTGGATATTGGTTGGTTTGGTTTGTTCGGTGTTTCAACATGGACCCGTCGTAGGGTGTAATATACAGTCTAACCATGGGTAAATGGAACCTGTGAACCATGTGGCGCATTTGTCTACTTTTTGGCCGGGTGGTGTGTTGCCCTTCTTCAGTGAGGCTAAAGGCTTCATCGTAATGCAACAGCTATTGGTGTCACTACTTCGGCTTCACATGCTAGCAGTTTGTTTCAGTTATGCCCATTACAGCCGAATTTTTATACCCTGCCACAGTTGAAATATCCGCCGAGGAGCCCCATGCTAATCGCGTGAACAAGGCTCCTTGAAGCGTCCTTTTAGATCTCAACGCGCACGCCAGAAATCACGACTTTCGGTGGCACTCGTGAAGTAGACTCATCCGTCCACCTATTCGGAAATTCGACTAAGTCGTCGGTGAATCTCGTTTTTCGAAATTCTGTAGGTGCCACCCAACGACCGTCTCGAGTTTGAGTTTGTACGGTATTGGGGGTATTGCAATTGAATACTTCAGTGGTGGCCCTCGAGAGCCGAAGATAGCTCAGTTATTAAGCTTCGAACCTGGAAGCTTGTGTTTTGAACCCAGCCTCGGAATTCCGACTGCTCCTATCCAGTGTTTGGTGGCGTGGCAGTGTTCCAGCCCATGTGCTACTTTCGATCGGAATGGATGCGCACGGAAGTGACAGCTGAAAGGTAGTGGTCTTTAACTTCGCCGGTTGCCCTAGTAGGTCTAGGGAGGGTGCCATGCCGTTACGGTGAAGTCGCTCTGATGGGGCGGTTGTTGTGGCGTGTCACTTAGGTTGCGTAAACTCCAGATGGATGTAATGTTTATTTCACGTGCTGGTTTCAGAGCCGTTGATCAGGAAACCTCTGTCCGGGATGTCCCTGGTTGAAAGTCCATTTCTCCATCGTCTTCAGGCTTGCGTAGCCTAAGGGTAGCCCCGCATTGTTCCAGTTTCACGTTTGCTGAATGAGAACAATGGTTTTGGTTAACTAGTCCAACGCCATCGACCAGCTCTCTTGGATATTGGTTGGTTTGGTTTGTTCGGTGTTTCAACATGGACCCGTCGTAGGGTGTAATATACAGTCTAACCATGGGTAAATGGAACCTGTGAACCATGTGGCGCATTTGTCTACTTTTTGGCCGGGTGGTGTGTTGCCCTTCTTCAGTGAGGCTAAAGGCTTCATCGTAATGCAACAGCTATTGGTGTCACTACTTCGGCTTCACATGCTAGCAGTTTGTTTCAGTTATGCCCATTACAGCCGAATTTTTATACCCTGCCACAGTTGAAATATCCGCCGAGGAGCCCCATGCTAATCGCGTGAACAAGGCTCCTTGAAGCGTCCTTTTAGATCTCAACGCGCACGCCAGAAATCACGACTTTCGGTGGCACTCGTGAAGTAGACTCATCCGTCCACCTATTCGGAAATTCGACTAAGTCGTCGGTGAATCTCGTTTTTCGAAATTCTGTAGGTGCCACCCAACGACCGTCTCGAGTTTGAGTTTGTACGGTATTGGGGGTATTGCAATTGAATACTTCAGTGGTGGCCCTCGAGAGCCGAAGATAGCTCAGTTATTAAGCTTCGAACCTGGAAGCTTGTGTTTTGAACCCAGCCTCGGAATTCCGACTGCTCCTATCCAGTGTTTGGTGGCGTGGCAGTGTTCCAGCCCATGTGCTACTTTCGATCGGAATGGATGCGCACGGAAGTGACAGCTGAAAGGTAGTGGTCTTTTTGTGATGCACTACTCAGCAACCTTATGGGTAGTGCATTACATAATACATGTATCACGATATCTCGAATATCGCAGCGACTGAAGCATGAGGCGGCCTAGCGCAGCACATTCAGTTGCCTGGAAACACCCCCAACGAGAGATTCAGCTGGGTTACAGGTGAGCCTCGAAAAACCAACTTAGTTTGCAAATGAGTGTATTTCGGTAATGGTCATTCTGGGAGGTCATACGGGAACGTGGTTTTTGGAGCATTCCCGTTTTCCTGATAAGCTTGGTAACTACTGCTCTACATCTGGTTTCCGCGAGCAGTTTTTCAAGATCGATAGGATCCAAGAATACCCGTGGTCAGTCGGCAAAAGTGTACGTGCGTTTCCTGAGACTAACTCTAGGAGTAATTACTCTAGTGTCTACCTCTGCTTTGGTATCAAGGTGTGATCGGGTAGCGGATATTGTGTCGTTCTGCGATTGCAAATCGCTGACCCTTACTTATATCGCGCATGCCTAATTATCATCTACTGGGAGATCTCACCGTGCCTAATCATCAACCGAAAGGCGGGCAACCTATGAGTGAAGTTACAGGTGTTGGTATAATCCATCGCCCAGGGTTCAGTGCAAGTGGGTGCGCTCAACTGAATTTGCCACGAGGTATGCCTGAAAACGGGTCGATTATCGCCCATAGTGTTAGTCTCCATGCTGGTCTCGCCACTGAGTAATGGAAGCGTAGATGGATCTTTTGTTCCTGATAGCATTGCAGCCTTGTCCATTTTTTACGCTTGAAGGGTTTAAAAGAATTTGCTTTTTATAGGGCGGCGAGGCACTCGTTTTGCTCCCAGTGATGGGACTAGTCTTACGGATTAATTACCAATGTTCCGACATCCGTCTACACTGAAGTGTTCATCATCCAATAATCATATTTCACCCATTCTTCCGCACGTCACTAAAGCGATTGGCGGATGATGACATGGGGCGTGGAACGCGTTGTGTACAGTCCTTATTGATACTGAAGTGCAGTTCTAGGCGGACCGTATTTGCACCAGTGTCACGGAATCCTCGGGGTTTCTATCAACACTACAATCGAGTAAAATAGGGTTATAAGGCCCCTGGTTTCTTGTGTATTGGGTACAGTAATTGCGATCATAATAGTGAGAAGTGTGGATGATCTTTGATTTTGTGCATGACGGGGTAGTGAAGTCGGGACAAGCATGGATCTTTCAGACCGTGTTTTCCCTGGTTTCAATGTTCGCCCTTGAGTCCGTTGACCTGTGCCTCTCGGGACATTGGTTGTGCAAGATGAAGTTGCGCTTCTTCCGTGTTAGAAGTTTTGTCCGACCCAGAGCGTCTGAGGCTTTCCCGGTTGTTTGCACTGCAGCTCTCGTAGGTGGTATGTAGCAAGGTACGTCACCAATCAGTTGGTATCGGTGCAGTGAAGTTGGGGTCTGGGAAAAGAAGCAAACAGGTAGCGTGTTGATGATGGAATGGATACAGACAGTCATGATACTTTCGCTGCAACGAGTCCCGTAAAAAGAAAAGGTAGTTTCAGAGGTCAACTTAGCGGATTGTGTAAAGGTTCGGTGATGGTGGGTGCTTGCTATTTTTCCTTGGAGTCTGTCCAAGTTGAGGTGATTTCATCTCTGCAATAGCACTTCTGATGATCTTGAAGCTGCATCCGCAATGGAACATTGCGGTTTTTATGAATGAATCTGAATTCGAAATGTAGTTACTGAATACTGTTATTATTTGTGTGATTTTTAGTGCAGTTTGGCTCGCAAATCACAAATGCAGGTTTATTTGTCAGGTTAACCAATAGCGCTTACCGTTACTCAGGGATACTTTTGAGACTGGTCATGTTTTGTTGTAATGACTATGCTCCTATCAGGCCTTCCAACATTTGGACGGTTTTTCAAGTATATCCACATTCGTTATGTGTTCGTTTCAACGCAGTTTCGCACTCGAAATCGTGATACAGCTGACCTTTTGTCGTTGCGGCTATTACTATATACTGATTAGAATCCCTCACTCATACCATTTACCACCGGTTCTAGGTTCGACGAATTGGTCTGCGCATTTCACATCAGTCCTTGTCGCTTGTGACGCTCTCACAAAGCAAGGTTCTACATGATCAGTAAATATGTTGCCCTCTTTTTTTAAGAATGACAGCGTATATGCCCAATGGTTACCGTATCGCAGCTTATGAACGAATGAAAGTAGAAACAACAAAAATAATCACCATGTTGGTGATAGCTAAGTGAGTGATAGTGTCGGTCGCCGGTATCATTTTGCGGAGGCTGGAGCTGCAGGCGACAAGGTTAGCCCAGACAAGTTATTTGGACGTGTGAGTCTGCTGAACTTGGAATGTGGTTTCATACTGACCTCGAGGTTGATGGATTCTGAAGACATTTGAAATGTGGCTGCGTAACAGGACGTGCCGGCTTCGGGCTTGTTAGACACGCGAATAGTCTCCCAGTCACGTTCACAGGATCTAATGGTCCCTATGTGCATCTAAGCTTAAATCCCGATTGGTAACTTGGCTGCTCACCTTTAGGGCGGTTGACCATTATTCGGTCTTTACCTGACTCTGCCAGTGCGATAGTTTTTTCATCGGTCACATGGAACCAGGTGATCTCATTCATGTGCGTCGATCTTCACAAAAGAGATTCTACTAAAGGTTTAATTAGGGTCGTGATGAACTCATGGAGACGAGTTCGAGGGGAACAACGACACAGGCAATGGTTATGAATTTGATCTTGTTTTTACCACAAAGGGTTTGGTCATTAGCAAGCTATCAAGCGCCGTATAGTCATACTGATCGGTTCCCTGACTATTTTCTGCGGTTTGTTCGCAGGTAACCATACGAATCTGAGCAAACTGGTTATTGGACCAAGTCACCGTAAGTAAAGCGATTAGGTTTGCATGACCTTAGTGTTAGTATATTACGGCTGTTATGGAGTGCATAACTAGATTCCATTCCCTGTGAGGGGTGTATTTACGAGGGTACACTTGTAAAATGTATCCAGCCCTCAGCTGAGGACCGTTCTAGCAACGTACCTTCAGAAATATAGACGTCACTGTTGAACACTTACTTCAACGGTTAGTTCCGAAACCTTTTGTTTTCCGTAGCGGATTGGCGTCAAAGCGATTGTCAGTGCTGAATGGGTGCTCGGTGTCTGACAATTATATTTGTCCTCGGGTGTCTTGGTTCTCGTTGGCAATAAACCAGACTGTGGAGTAATTTTGAACTCACTATTATTTGAGGGACTCAGGGTGGCCACAAACGGTTCGGGTACACTGAAATACAGATAAATTGGGAAGAGGTTACTGAGAACTTATGACTAAGCACTTTTGCCACCAGATTGGCTACGGGACGGTGGTTTATTTTTGTAGGAACATGTCACCACTGTTTCTATAAGTGGGGGACCTACACCTGAGTTTATTAAAGCTATTTAAGAGTTTCAGGTGTTGAACATGATCGTTTGAGGATTTAATCGGACGACGCACAATTAGTTGTCTAGTTCACCGGAATGGAAAACTGGATGACAGTGTCTGTCACCAGCCAAGACAACATCGTGAGTGGGCACACACTGATGCGACAGTACAAATAAACCACCATGAAGTCAGCTTTCCTTTCGACGGCCACAAGAAGTTTCCCTGGGTGGCTGTGCTCATAATCTAACTGCAGATGCTCACAGCCTCAGGCACATTGAATATCTTCAGGCTATGACGGTACAGTCCACCTGCAAAAGCATTCGGCAACGAGATATATCTATCAAGCTAAGGAGTTTGATGGATCCTCCCTGAAAACTAAGCGTTAAACTGTCCATGCGGACTAGTCTTAGAATGGATCGAACCAGATCTAAAAATAGGGAGCCGAACAACAAGGAAACTCCGGAAGTGTTCCCCTATTTCGGCCTAGTTCCTAGTCATTTTGAGGGTAGCGGTAAATTTACTTTCCAGTACCTCTTAAGTAAGATATGTCAGTTCAAGTTGGACTGTGTGTCGTAGCCTCTCTCAGGCTCTCAGTACGTAGCATCTTGAATCTAACTGGACTCAATATCTCTGGTCGTTTCGTTCAGCGCCAACCCGTGAATACAGTTCACTGTCATCATAGCTTCACCATTCGTATTTTTTAACAAAATTGAGGGTGGTATAAAAGGATTTAGGATCAGGCTTGTCGCTAAATTATCGGACCAAAGCAAGGCGTCTTTCGCACATGACGACTACCTCAAGACGTCTCAGCAGCATTTGTAATTTTTTTTACACTGTGAAGTGTAAATTTTTCTCAACTCACCAAACTACATTAATGCCCTTCAGGATGTTGCGCTCTCAGCTTCCAAAAACTGCAATACTACTTTTGGATATTCCTCTATTGGTCACGAATTCGGTTTACATCAACGTGATCCTTATCCGAACTGTTTGAGCTGCTATTGCTACATCTGCTGTAGTGGTTTCCTGCCTTTTCGAGTATTATGGTAAATGTTCAAGATCAGTTAGATCGTTCACCGGAACACCGGGACAACTGCCCGAGAACTGCCCACGAAATGCCAGGTGGAACCATCGTGGCTTCCGTTGCGCAAATGAAATGCATTCCGTTTCCATGTCTTCTTATGTGTAATATGTCCAAATAAATATGTATACTATAAAAATAGTTATGTATACATACATACATACGTATTTAGCGGTGAGAATGTGCATGTTTTTGCTCTTATTGTCGAATTTAGCCTGTCGTCCCTCTATCACTCCGGTTGTGGCTTCAGGAAAAATGTTGGCCATCTGATTCACTTGGTCATGGACCTGTAGATACTGCATATTAGTGGTTCACACGAGTGGGGTAACATTTCAGCACGGTTATCTGACACTACTGTGGTTGTGACCTACGGATGTTGTCTAACTATTCGTCGAGTCATTACGACAGATTCATGGAAAATTCCATCAACTTCAACTCCGCGACCCCGTGGGTAAAGAGGGCGTGGAGGTTTAACGAGGGATATAATGGGGAACCAGTTTACGCAGAGCAATGGATGACGGAAACTGGTATTAGTATCACAACGGGTGACGGTGTGCAGTACATGGGTCCATTCCATTTTCTGTCTATTACTAACTTCCGGCAGCAAATAATGAAAAAGATCACTTACGCTGATTCACTCGCGAGCGACAATGTTGTCGTGGTCGTTTTTCCTAGACTTCGCATGGGTAAAATAACCACATCATCCACAAGTCTTTCTTTGGCTTCAAATCTCATTGCAAATTTCCATATTCCCCCAAGTTCGGTCGCAACAGTGAGCTGTGCTGTACACCTGAAAGCAATGGATATCAGTCAATTTAGATGTAGCAAAAACGAAAGCCCAAGTTACTTGTTGTCGCGACTTCAAGCTTTGTTGTTATGACAGCCTGTTTATAAGTGTGTGAATCTTCGAGTGATTACGTCATCAGTTCCTTCACTCGTGTACAATACGGTTTTTCAACAAAACGGAACTGGAGAGCCGTTTTGCTTCCACTTGACAGGATTTTGAGGTGGAATCTGTTCACTTTGCGCAGCCAAGCTTATCTGCATTATGCTGGGTGGGGTGTGCGTGCCGGCGGTGTTGACTCAGGCCAATCTTCGTCGGAAAAAGGCGGGAACAATCAGCGCAGGCCAATTGGGCAACCGTGTTCGTACCAACACTTTCATTGTCGTGAACTCGATGGTGGGCTACCAAGCCAGCTTTCGATTTGCAGCACTTGCCACATTCCTCACACGTGTGGAGTCTAGGTTGGCAGGCATTGCCTAGAATACCATGCGTGCTTGGAGGATTGTGTATTTTTTTCGTGAACCAACAGAACTAACTTCGGGTCAAGAGGAGCCGACATGACGTATATCATCGGAGACCATTCAGAAGATAGGACCAATTACGTCGTCTACCAGGCAAGGATGAACCACTGGGGTGAAGCAAAAGATCAACTGCAACGCAACTATCTGGTCTCGGGTCCATCGCCAACCGAGATCAACGGCAACCAGTGTTGGGCTGTTGGTTCGGCAATAGGATAATTACACCAAACAACGCAGCAGCGCTGCTCATATTCCGTAACATTACCAGCAAGGACTGTCTACATCGCAGAAATTACATGACAACTATGATATTCAGGCACATATGCGATTTCACGGACAAAGTGGAAAATCGCTGGTGGTTGAAAAATTAGGAGTTCGATTTACAAAACTTGTGGAGGTGCACAGTAGAAACGGAAACACTACAACGGAACTACAGCTACCCTGAATTTACGTCCAAAATAGACCAGAAAGTGACTATTATAGGAGATTTTCTGGTGTTGATCAGGTCTTCAGCTAGAATTTACCCAGATTCGGTGACGGCCTCAATTGTTTTCAATGCCTATTTTTTCAATACACTGCTGTATTTTGGACAGCTACCTAGCAGTTTGTCAGATTGGTGGTTGCTCAGCCCTCGCCCTCCCTGGGCTGCTAAGTATATGGTGATTGTAGTGAATCCTGTGAATCAAATTGATTGAAACGTCTAGCAACGGTAAAGTATGGTGTGAGAATGATTTTATGCATTTTTGTTGAAGATGTGCGTTTTAATTACTCTGGCATTCTGTTTCGCCTCTTGTAGAACTGCAACAAGTCAGACTGAGCGGAAACAATGTGGCTTTTGAGTTCATTCTGCCACGTCCACTGTGACCTTCCAAGTGAGGTTTCGGTAGCATCAACCTTTGACTAGGAGTGACTAAAACGACCCCTATCTCAGAACGTGTCTACCAATGTAATACAAAGTTGACTTCTATCAGGGCCACCATTGTTTCATTCATTAGGACGTATTGAATCTGGTTGAAGAATAGAAACTTGAAAAGCTGTTCTTTTTTTGTATCTTATTTATACTAGCAGTGATGCGTAGGGAAGTTACGAAGCACTGGTGAAAACGAATTACAGCTCAGAATATACTGATTTATGGTTGCCTTGTAGGTAGACTATAGGCTGTAGAAGAAAATATCGGTTGTTTCATTTGATTCTGTCTGACGATCGTGTGCAAACTCACTTAAATGGATGAGATGGTGTAAAGACCAGTATTAACTGTATCTCAGTTGACCCGGTTGTAGTTTCTCCCCCAATCCTTTCAAGTAATATTTGTACAGAAGATTCAAGAAGTTTATTAATCATGGCTGAGTCCGTTGCTCTTGGTTTCCCGGATGGTACAAGCTGGTTTTTGTCTTCCCGAATTTTGTTCGTCGCACTGTGGCTTCTTGCTGAAGGACAAATCTTGAGCTTGATAAACGGTTCTTCACTCTCAGAGCATTTCGGCCCCATGGATGAGTAAGTTGATTCCAGCGGGCAAATTTCTATCGTAGCAGGTCGGTCATTTGGTAACAAGGATGGTCTAGTTAATGATCCTTTGACTTCAGAAGCATCAGCACACAAATAAAGACAAAGTTGGTACTTTGTTGTTGATCCTACTACACCGGTGATTACATTCGAGCAGCGTGTAGGCGGACTAGAGGAGCGAACGACTGCATGGTCCATTTTTCTGTCAGATAGAATCGTACAGCTCAGGAGCGAGGTAGTTTCCGCTATGCCCTGTAGAATCAACAGAAAGCAAAGATAATACAAGATAGCCTGCGAGTTGGAGTTATTTTTGAACCACAGCAGTAGAACGTTCAATCAATCCAACTCACAGGACACGCGGTCAACGTAGAGGATTCATGATAGAAACTGTCAGACGATAACAAACACATAAGTCGTTGGACATAGCGTTACACATAACGTGATGTGGAAGAGCCAAGGTAATGAGAAGATTTATTTGCTCAGGGGAGACAAACTTACTGCTTTCATACCCCGAAACATTGCCAAGAAAACACAGCTAAAATACTGTGTGACTGTTTCGTCACGTGTGGGAAGTGTTGGCGGTTGGTAGCTTACGATTCTTTGGAAAAAAAACTGAAGCCGAAACACTGCAGAAAGTAGTTTACCATTGAATCAGGATGGCTCATCAGTGCACTTGTTCTTCCATTGGTGTATGTTCGACGGGAATTAATTACCAATGTCTCCCATCTTGTGTTGCGTATATGTAGGCCGAATGATCACCGACGCCCTCTCAGTCTAACTCAAACAGAAAATACTGGTTCATTCCCGAAATGCACTCATTTACACACCAGTTCGGTTTTAACTGTTTTAACCGCTTGTCCGGAACGCTCGGGTTTTACGGATCTTCCATGAAATCTTTTCAAAACCCTGGTTGCAACCACACAGGTGCCCAGAATGATGAATCTCAGTGTCCCTTTTGTGATTATTTTAACAGGGTTTGACTCGGGACGAACAGCGCTGATCATAGAGCAAATCGAAGTTCGTATACCGGGTCTAATAGCCATAATTTTAAAGGGGATTTCTGTTAAGCAAAGTTAAGTTGGTGCACTACTGTTCGGAACTTTCCGTGGTACAGGGCAACCAGAGAATTAGTGAATTGGAATAGATTAGCAGTGCTAGACATCGAATATTCCCCTTGAACATTGTGGCAATAAGCTGGGCATTGTGGGAGTAGGTTTGATATTACCCAGCTTTCTTCTATTTGACCAACAGTACAGGAAGATTTGTCACATGTTCATCAGTCCATTTTGTCCGCATACCCGACGACGAATTTCACAAACGGACTCACCTTTAGTGGTATAACCCATTCCACAGGCTCACGAGGCGCAACTTCTTCACCCACCGAAGACTGTCCGAATGCAGGTGGCGAACGCATTACAACGGAACATGTTGCAGAGTACTGACGCATCTCTTTTGGTTCAAAGGCAATGGGGATTGTGAAGTACGCCCCCTTCTGCAAAACAATGCCTCTACACAATGATAGAATTGATGAATACAGCGTGACAGGTTTTGTCATTTGTATTTTATAAAGGCAAAGTTGCATAGTACAAAAGGGTGATCTAGCCGGGTGAAAACAGGCAAATATTTTTCCCGAGAAGGAGTATGGGGAGTTGCTTCCATAACCTAATTTGTGAAAGCCTTTTTTACATTAGGCTCTGGCACGTGATAAGGTCGCCATCGATTCTTAGTCAGTTCTTGGCGAAATTTCTTGCATTAGTTGTTGCAGTCACGTAAAAACCAGGTGCACAGTTTCATTTAACCACGCTGACTAGCTGAAATCGCGCTGTTTATTCATGGACTGCACCGAGAGCAGCGAACTTGCTGGAAGTAACCGGTGGTTTCACGTAAATGTTGACGGTAATGCGATCCGTCCCTAGGGTTTGGATTCCGCTTTATCAACCTAATGTTTTGAGTTTACCAGTTAAAGTTTAATGAGTTCATTGAAGATTTACGCACCATCCGAAGGCAGATGGTCAGCTTTAGTCCACTCCAGTATTTTGGAGTCAAACTAGTGCACGTGCGTATGGCCTGTCGGCCGAACGGTTAATTGTTCAAACTACTAGCCAGAAGGTAACGTGTTCGAGACTCTCCGGAGTTTCGTGAGATGCGCACTACTGATGATTCCCAATAAGGATGAAACAACTGCACAGTGCTTCTCGGCTTTTCAGCATAGATTGGCTTCACTTACAGGACGAAATCTCCACGAAAACACAAATCTCCTCACATTACCAACGATTAGTAGTCAAATTTAAAACAGCCACAATATTATGGTTATTGGATGAATAGTACATAATTGTTTGGGTTAACAACTGTAGACCGTTAGAAGAAACTTCGTTCATTGGCAGCAATGAAGCCCAGACTAAGCATTTCTGGAGGCCCGGTATCTAAAACGACTACCCACCAAACGTAGCCAACCAAAGTTCAATTACTCAATTTAGATCAACAGTTTGACTTACTTTCTTTTTCGTAAAAGTAATTGAAAAGTTTCCACTAAATCTGTTACTTGATGGTCATCTCCGATGCCTTGGGATACTGGAGATGATTGAGCCTCCTCGGCTGGACCAACAAACACCGTCTGCTGATGAACTGTTACAGGAGACTGAGTGAGGAGAACATCAACACACACTGGATTGTGGAATGGATTGGAAATAGGCACCAGCACAGTACTTGCTGACCCGATTTCTGCATATGTGTACACTGGCTTGTGAGCTTTGGGAAGAACTCCACATCCAGACACGAAATATCGCCACTCTATAAGCTAAAGGAAACAAGTACAGAGATATCAAGCTATCTGAACAACTTTGTTCAAGGTCCGAGGATGATAATGTTCGTTCTCACCATGTAAAGCTAAATATGCATATTCTGAGCAGCCATACGAAGCTACCCAACATCCACACTGACGGAGAACCGTGTGAAGCCATTCCTAGAAGAGGTCGTTTTCCAAAAGAGGTTGGTTCAATTCACGACTTCGCCAACCGAAGATGCAGATAACTTGTGCCGAACATTGAGTATGTGGCTAATAGAAAAGGGTCACAGACTAGCTCAACAAATAGAATTAGGACTGTTGTTCGGTGCTTCTCAAACAACCTCATATGCGTTGGTCGAGAGGATACCCACTTCCTAGGTTTGTTTATGTGTTTTGTGTTATCACAACAGCCAAGTAGCCAAACCAGATGGACTATTCGATCACCGTGATGATAATTTGTGTTGCCATGTCGATTTGCCCAGTTAATGGACTGAACTTCAGCCTCACTGTTGTACAGGTATATAGGGGAAACGAAAATATGGTTAATAAATTCGCTTATTCGATGTGAAAGCCGGAGAACGATCATCCTACTAGACAATGACAGGAATTTAGCAAGTTGGAAGTGTCGTTCGCCCGGGATATACTTCCGTTTGATGCGCGCATTAGTTTGTAGAATGGCCTAAATATGACTCAGTGTCGGCAAACATTCCCCTAAATTAAATGTGCATATTTTTCAACCTGACGTCACCATCACCATCAACAACAGCATGACATCAGTGCTCAACACCGACGCTTCACTGCCGACAGGTCTTTTTGTATCGCTTGTATTTAACGGTGAGCGAAAATTCCCTCGAAGTTAACGATTTTCTACTTTCCAGAACCATTTACTCCAGAACGCCACTCTTTGGCGAAGGATGGAAAAAGTTCATCAGTTCGCTATCTGATTCTCTCATTCATCAAACTTTTGATTCAGGTTTTTCGTCTCGTTTTGAAGAGATTCATCCAGGCCAGACTTCGCTCCATTCGTTCATATGGTCATAAAATTTGATAGGTCTATTGTTGTGCTGAATGCGTCTGTTCTTTACGACCTGCCTCACTTTGTTCAACTGGAGACTCTACACTGCCTAATACATTCCTGGTCGCACGGATAGATAAGATATATTTGTACTAGCAGATGATCCACAACAGCATTCGAAGTCTATACAGAATGTCCATACAGAATGTCCACACAGAAGAGTCTATACAGAAGAGCAAGTATCCATACCTTTTTGGACAGAAATCGGATCACAGCCTCATGGCCTTCCGTACCCAGATTAAACGGAGTGAATTTTAGTCCGACCTGTATTGTGGACCTGGCTTCCAGAAGAAGTGCTTTAGGAGGAACATGTACTGGTGGCAAGTGGGATGTTCCCTCAACCGGAGTCGTCGAGTTCATGGTTGGGTTTGCACTGTCAGAGAATCGCTCTTGCCTTGGAGGGTCTATGACGTCGAAATGACTTTGTATCAAAACGTCCTTACCGGAATGAAGCGCGGGATGGGCCGACGGTTCCGATGGTACGTTCATTTGTAAGGCGAAAGCCTCAGTGTTTCCAATATGTGGCGCCAGCACACAAGGTTCATCGGAATGATTCTCCAGTAAAATAGTTGTGATGACTGACCTAAAGAAACAGACATTTTACATCACCGAAATACATGCACAGGACCAGGTAAATTTGGATAACTTTGCTAACTTTGGGGTTTTGGAATGAGAGACAACTGTGATGATAGGTTTTAAGATGAAAGCACCCGAGAGTGAGAAACACTGTGGCAATCCAACAGGTGGTAGTTCAGATCCGGATTGACGACAACGACAAGGGAACAGCAATTCATGCGAGGTCAGAACTTACTTGCTGCATCACTTTTAACAAAGTGTGAAACAGATGTAGACATGGGTTTCAGTGCCTGACTGTTTGGAAGACTATGAGACATGCTAGGTTTACATAGCCTACGAAAAAGTAGATTCATTATACTTACTTTCCCAGCTCGCAGTTGATAGGCTGGACGTGAACGTCTTCAGGCTTTGTTGTTCTCAGTAAAAGTGCAACCCAGAATTCACCACACAGTGGGTGAAAGAACGTGATACTGTAACAATAAGATGAAACCCGATAAGACTCTTCGTCATTAAATGCCCACACATAAACAGTAAGATCTTTCGTTACAGTAGTCTACTAAGACACACTAGTCGATTGTCAGTTTTGCTCGGTATAAGAATTTGAGAAACATTAGTTCTAATGAAATCAATTTGGTTACTTTGCCACAATACAAAGATGCAGGAATTGGATGCTAAAATGGACAGTGAGGATTGGGAAAGATATTGTGAAACGTTCAACAACAAGGCGTCATAGAGGGTATATAGAGGGGCCTGGCTTAGGACACATTGTCTTGCAGCTAGACTCTGCAGGTTGGCCTAGGATCTCTACTTCCCCCGCGGTGAACAGTTTGTCGTTTTAAGCACGCAGTGGCTAGATGTTTCAGTGGGGACTTGTGGAAAACTTAGGACCGTGTGGTGAAACACCGAAGACTGAGAATGTCACAGTTGTGTATCAAGCATGTAGTTCTTTTTATTGTTGATATCTTCCACGTCAAACTAGTTCATAGTGACTTTTTCGACAAGGGGGAAAGCGCTCCAAATTGCAGCAGAATAAGACGCTGAAAAACTGCATATCAAGGCCTATTAAAAAGGAAAAAAAGAAATCGGTGTACGAATTCGCCGAGGTTGATTAAAATAAAAGGCGAAGTTTGATCATCCAGAGGCAATATTACGTAGGATGATATATATA